CCTGTCAGGCGCCCCAGGCCGTGGACCACCAGCCGGTTGGCCGCCACCTGGCTCTTGGCATTTTACTCTTTTGGGCTTTGTCCCCTAGCTCGCTGGGTAATACCCCCAACAATTGCCCCCCCAGTTAGGTGCTCGTGGCTTCGCCAACGAGCGCCTGACTGAACCTCTAGTCATAGTCCAGCCTTCTGCTTAGTTGCAGGGCGCCTGCCACCGTGCTCTCACTTGTTTCTTGGTCCTACAAGGTGCGTTTGCCTTTCTTCCTCCGCGATCAGGCGTCCCGCCTTTGCCCGTGTCCCTTATCGACTACTCTTCCAGGTGTTTCTGTCCCTTTTGCTTGCCAAGGCGCCTTTCACCAAATCGGGGCGCCTTTTTTATTGGCCTTCATTTTCGGGCGCTTCCTGGTGTCCTTTTTGGTGAGTGTCCTCATCCCTTGCGCCCCCCCTCACCCACACTGTGCTTTTTGGGGGGAATTTGGATAAAAGAAAAATTCGAAATTCGAAATTCGAAATTCGAAATTTGGGAGGTGAGAAATTACCCCGAAAAGGAGAGTGTGGGGGAAGCTCAAAGGTCCGCCCGTGTTTTGGTGACGCGCGAAAAGACGCAAAAGGTGGGGGGAGTGGAAGGGTTTCCTTCGGCATGACTGACACGTGTCATGCGACGGGTGAGCCTTCGTTTCTCTTTAAATACCCCCCCCCTTGTGATGCTGTCACTTTCTTCTATTTGTCATCTCTCTAGAATCTTGCTCTGACTTCTCTCTAGAATCTTCCGCTCTGACCTCTGCCCACTTTCCTCTCTGTTTTTCTCGGCCAACACTTCACTTCTCGTCCAAAAATGTCGTCTCCACAACAAGACAAGACTTCTGCACCCGGCGCCTCGGGCGCTGGCGCTTCCGGCGATGGCGGTGAGGCAAGGCGCCCAGTTCAACGTGGTAAGTTGTCCTTCTCCTTTCGTCGATTTCATTGAGTTTTTACTCTAGTCACCTAGGGTAGGGGCGTCACTTACCCCTTGTGGACGTTGCGTCTGGGTCATTTGTTGGTTTAGAGCGGGCGCTTCCTTCAACATCTGGTGGACCATCGTCGTCTGCCGGGCCGTCGAGTTCCTCAGCGCCTGGGTTTCTGCCGGCCGACGGGTCTTACAAGATCACTTCATGGGAGAAGTGTTTTCCTCCCGACCATCTGACTTGAGCAGGTGCCCCCTTCCTGGCGCGCCAGGTAGGGGTTAGTAAAGTCCACGCACATCCTCCAATCTCCCGACGGCTTTGGGACAAACACTACATTGGAGAGCCACGTAATGTACCTTGCCTCCTCCACAAACCCCGCTTCTCGCAACCTGTCGACCTCATGCCGGAGCGCCTCTTCTTTCTCGGGGGTCAAGTTCCGTCGCTTTTGTTGCACCGGCCTTTTACCTTCTTCCACTGCCAGCCTGTGCGCCGCAACTTCGGGGGACACCCCGGGCATATCCCGAGCGCTCCATGCAAATAATTCTCCGAACTCTCTCAGTAACTCGATTAAGGGTGCTCGCATAGTCTCTGGCGCCTGCGATGATATTCGTATTATCTGGTCTGGGCGCTCCTCGTCCAATGTCACAGCCATCTCATCGTCTACTGGTTCTGCCCTGGGCGCCTCCTCCGGACTGATGTCTACGATATTTAGTCTATGCTTCCGACCCCGATTCTTTGAGTCCTCTTCTCTTGCATATCGCGGGACATTCCTTCCTCGCGAGACGCCTACACCTTGAGGAGCGACGAACTTCAGCGTCTGGTGACACGTCGAGGCTACCCCATTGAATTGTGCCAAAAGAGGTCGGCCAAGTATCACATTGTATGGTGAGGGACAGTCAACGATGCCAAACTCCACCGCATGCGTTACACAATGCGTTTCGTCCCCCAGAGTCACAGGGAGGCGTACGCGCCCAATGACTTGAGCAGGTGCCCCCGAAAATCCGATGAGCACCGAACTTGAGGGACGTACCAACTCAGGCGCCAGCTGCATTCGCTCAAAGGTGCTTTTGAAGAGGACATCCATAGAGCTGCCTGTGTCTACCAACATTCTCTTCACTTTACATCCGGCTATCACTCCTTGTATCTCAAGAGCCTCCTCCGATGGAACTTGGCACGCCTCATCCGGTTCCTGATTAAAGTGGATGTGCACGGCTTCCCTGGCTTCAAGCGACGCAGCTCGCAGGCGCCTAGATCTCTCCAACTTCTCTCTCAAGTCAAGGGTACCCGTTATGGACTCGACTGTAAGCCTTACTCGGCTAGGCTCTCCCTCTTGATCTACCTCAAACGGAGGTGGCGGAATAACAGGCGCCGGCTCAGTTCCCGGTTCTTTGGGCGCTTCCCTGACTGTGGGCGGCACCACGGCTTGGGTTCTTGGTTCTTCTTCCGCCCTCCTCTGTTCCGGCACCTGCCTCGTCACATAGGTTCGATGCGTCCTGTCTTCCATCCTTCTGACGAAGTCGTTGAGCATGCCTTTGTCGGCTAAAGTTTGTAGTTCGGACTTCAGTTGGTAACAATCGGCCGTGTGATGCCCTTTGTCGCGATGGAAGTCACAATATCGGTCAAGATTCTTTTCGTTGGGCTGGCCGCGCATGGGCCCCGGCCACCTTATATGGTAGCCCCTATCCTTCACATATTGTAACACATTCTTGAGGGTATCATTGTACTCTGTAAAATTTGCAGCACTCCTCGGTACCAGTCGTGGCGCCTCTGGTCTCCTTGGTGGGGCGAAATTTCCGGGACCAGGTCTCGGCGCCTGCCTCACCTCTCCTTCATCACCTCTTAGCCGCCTCTTTTCAGCCCTTCGTGCCGCCAAAGTTTCTTCCAACATAATTACCTTTTGTACTCTTCGGTCAAGGTCTTCGGTGGACACTACATCTCGCTTGGACAGGACCCGGCACAGCTCCTCGCTTGAGGTGCAGGCGTCCAAGCAGACCCCCAACACTGCTGGTTGCACATCTTTGACCGCCATGGCAACCGAGATCCATCGATCATAAAACTCTCGGAGCGCCTCACCCTCCTTCTGTTTGACTTTAAACAACGCCCCTATGGTCAATGTCCGACGCTTTCGGCTTGCAAACTTGGACAAAAACAACTCAGCAAATTCTTCGAAACATTCTATGCGCCCCTCCTCAATCTGGTGGTACCAATCCAGGACCACGCCTGCGAATGTGGAAGGAAACACCTTGCACAATGTGGCGTCGGAGCTGTTGTAAAGCTGCATCTTAGTAAAGTAGCTATTCAGGTGGTCTTCCGGGTCAGCCACCCCATCATAACTTGGCAACGGGGGGATCGTAGTTCCCGCTGGCTCCATTAGGATGCGCCGCGCCAGAGGCTGCCGAACACCAAACCTTCGAGCAATCCTCCTAGGCGCCCATACGTCCTCTGGGCATGTTTGCGCCCGCTCGATATTCAGCCTCCCCTCTCGTGGACGCCCATACGCGTCATGCCCCTGCTCGGAGGCATACTGCGGTCCGTGTTGCAGAGACTCCGAATCTTCCCCCATTCTCTCCCGCTTTCTCGCCCCTGGGCTGTACATCATCGCATCTTCACTTCGTTCCCCTTCCAACTCCCTCTTGAGCGCCGCTATGGCCCGGTCTTGGTCGGCTATGATTCGGAACAGCTCTCTTTTCGTCAAAGACTCGCCATCATCAGCGGACAGGCGCCCTGGACTTCCTTGTCCCCCCCATTCATGCTCCTCTCTTGACTCAGTTGACGCCCGCCTTCTTCGTGATTCGAGTTCCCCGACCTGGAATCGCCTTCTCCATCGTTCGCTTCGTTCATGTCTTCCATGCGCCTAACGTTTTCGTGCACCTCCCCCCTTTCTGGCGCGCCAATTGTTTGTGCCTAGATACCCCCGAACTCTTATCCTTTGCCTTTTTACTCCTCCGACACCCGGGCGCCCGGAACCTGCACCCACAAGCGCCTAAGGGCCTCGGCCGACCCGTTAGCACTCCGAAGCTTAAGTCAGTTCTCTTTTCTAGAGAGATAAGTGTTTGGGAGTCGTTTTAGTGAGAGAAGCCAACCTGCGTAAATGCTATCGTCTGCCCCTATTTATACTCACCGAACTCGAGGTTGATCTCCGCCACGTCACCTCCCACATTCAATGCTCTGCGCCCTCAGACAGCTAACCGCCCTGTCAGGCTCCTGACACCTGACTGGCGTTCCACAGTTCTGCCAGGCTCCTGACACACGACAGGCGCCTGCAGGCCGCGGCCCACCATCCAGTTGGTCGCCACCTGGCTTTTGGTGCTCTGTGTGACAGCTAACCACCCTGTCAGACTCCTGTCACCTGTCAGGCGCCCCAGGCCGTGGACCACCAGCCGGTTGGCCGCCACCTGGCTCTTGGCATTTTACTCTTTTGGGCTTTGTCCCCTAGCTCGCTGGGTAATACCCCCAACACCTTGATAGTTGGTTTTTTGGTACCAAATCCATGTACCAAATCCTTGAAGCAAACGACCCCTAAACAAAGCCAAATCACACTCACTATACTTCCAATTTTCTTTTCCCCTTTATTTGTTACTTTTCTAAAACATTATCGGTTAATACTATCTTCCTCCGTCCAATTTTCACCTTCTTTTTCATTCTCTCTTTGTTCGTCCTTTTCATTAAACACGAATACGAGCATGACACGAGCACGAATAGGCACGACACGATTCAAACCGTGCCCGGGCCTGGGCCGGGTCTAACAAAGTTAATATAAACTTGCATGGCACGACACGAAAACTGATGGACCGTGCCAAGCACGGCACGAAATAAATGGACCCAAATCGTGCCCGTGCCGTGCCAGCCAAGCACAGCCCAGCGCCCATGTACAGGTGCCTCCCTTGCCGACGCCCGACAGTTTCATAGTTGTCCGTCTTTGGCGTCACTTCCCGCCTCTCGGCTGCTCGTTCTCGCTACCCAGTTGGGGATTCAATATTGTTAACTCTTCGAGTTGCACACCAAATCCTATTCTCGAACTTCATTCTCTGGGTGATTTCCTTTGCCTCTGCTTCCGTCAATGTTGTTTCTCTTAATCTCTCGGCGAACTTATTCCGCAGCTCTCAATGCGCCCTTCTCTCGATCCAATTCCCAGATATCCCATTTCGCCCGTACAGGCCAAATCGATAGAGCCCGTCAGGTTTTCGATCAGCTGCGGGACAAAACAGTCGTGTCTTGGAATGCAATTGTGGCTGGCTACTTCCAGAACAACCAACCGAGGGAGGCTCGACAGCTGTTCGATCATATGCCTGAGAGAAATACGGTTTCTTGGAACGGCTTGATTTCCGGTTACGTTAAGAATGGGATGACTGGGGAAGCTAGGGAAGCGTTCAACAAGATGCCTGAGCGGAATGTGCTTTCGTGGACTGCGATGCTCAGAGGGTATGTCCAGGAGGGTATGATCGAGGAGGCAGAACGTTTGTTTTCTCAGATGCCTGTGAAGAATGTTGTTTCTTGGACCGTTATGATAGGTGGGTTGATTGAAGATGGACGTGTTGACGAAGCCTTAAAGCTGTTTTATGTGATGCCCGTTAAGGATGTCGTTGCGAGGACTAGTATGATTGGTGGGTTGTGTTCTGAAGGAAGGTTGAAGGAAGCAAGGGAGATATTTGATGAGATGCCTGAGAGAAATGTCGTTGCTTGGACGACGATGATTAATGGGTATGTAATCCATAACAAGGTGGATTTAGCTAGGAAACTGTTCGAAGTAATGCCTGGTAAGAATGAGGTGACATGGACTGCAATGTTGATGGGATACACGAGGAGTGGACGGATTAAGGAAGCTGCAGAACTCTTTGACGCCATGCCTGTCCAATCAGCTCCTGCTTGTAATGAAATGATTATGGGTTTTGGACAGGATGGTCAGGTGGCTGAAGCTAGATGGGTATTTGATCAAATGACAGAGAAAGATGACGTGCCATGGAGTTCAATGATCAAGGTCTACGAGAGAAAAGGTTTTGAACTGGAAGCACTTGGTCTGTTTCGGTTGATGCAACTACAAGGAATTAGACCAAACTTCCCGTCAATGATCAGTACTCTCTCCGTTTGTGGTAGTCTGGCAATTCTAAATCATGGCAGAGAGGTGCATGCACAGCTGGTGAGATCCATGTTCGATTTTGATGTTTATGTCTGCTCAGTTTTAATCACGATGTATATAAAGTGTGGCGATCTTGTGAAGGGTAAACTGGTATTTGATCGGTTTACGTTCAAAGATACTGTTATGTGGAATTCTATCATTACTGGTTATGCACAGCATGGCCTTGGAAAGGAAGCATTGCAGGTGTTCTATGATATGGTATCTTCAGGTGTACCTCCGGATGAAGTCACCTTTATTGGGGCCCTGTCAGCTTGTAGTTATACTGGAAGGGTGAAAGAAGGAATTGAATTATTCGAATCGATGAAATCAAAGTATCTGGTGAATCCCAAAACTGAACATTATTCTTGTGTGGTTGATCTACTTGGTCGAGCAGGAAAACTGAATGAGGCAATGAACTTAATTCGCGACATGTCGGTGGAAGCAGATGCTTGTGTTTGGGGTGCTTTACTAGGCGCATGTAGAATCCATAACAGGCTCGATCTGGCTGAAGTTGTCGCAAAGAAACTTTCACTGATTGAGCCTGAAAATTCCGGGCATCATATCCTGCTCTCAAATATTTATTCATCCCAAGGTAGATGGAGAGACGTTGCGGCATTGAGAAGTAACATGCGTGTACATTCATTGTCGAAATCACCTGGGTGTAGCTGGATTGAAGTGGAGAAAAACGTTCATGTCTTCACTGGAGGAGATATCATGTCTCATCCCGAGCATGCATTGATATTGAAGATGGTTGAGAAATTAGATGGGGTCATAATAGAAGCTGGATATAGCCCCGATGGTAGCTTTGTGTTGCATGATGTCGAGGAGGAGGAGAAGGTACATAGCTTACGTCATCACAGCGAGAAATTGGCTGCAGCATTTGGAATCTTGAAGGTGCCAAAAGGTATGCCTATCAGGATCATGAAAAACCTCCGGGTATGTGGTGATTGCCACGCTGCTATCAAGTTGATAGCTAGAGTGACTGAGCGGGAGATTGTGCTAAGAGATGCCAATAGATTCCATCATTTTAAGGATGGTTCATGCTCTTGTGGGGACTACTGGTAAGCGCTTTAACTTGAAGCTGTTGAATGTTGATCCTTCGATGAAATCATGGAACAGTCTCGACTCTCGAGGCCAATATAGCACGAAGCTTATGCAATTTTTGGGTAAGACGTCCCCTACTTGTTTTAATTTCATGCATCACATTTGAATGTTGAATTCCATTTTGAACAAAAAACTTTTAGATGCTTGTAGAGTTGAGAGCATGTTCACTGCATAAGGTCATGTGAGGTCATGAAATGAAGCCTTTGTCTGCATATGATTCAATGCAAACTTAATCTTTCTGCTTTGTCTAAGACTACTTTGGACCTTACCTTTCCTTGTCCCTTGACATAGTTCAGGAAGAATAAGGCTAAGAAGCTATTGTGATATAAATCTTACACCTTTGAGATATATAACCATGAGTTATTGCTGGAGAAGTTGCATGCATTTCTACAAAAGAATATAAGATAAAATTGATGCTTTCACTGGTTATATTAGGTAGGAACAATAGAACACATCTCACTGCTACAAACATGCTATAGTGATTACTTTAGTAGGTCAGTTGGTTTTCTCATAGTAGCCAAGCTTGCATACGCTGAAACTTATACATGTACAGTCGTCATACATGAAGCAAAACACACATCACGAAATCCCACCTTCTTATTGCAAACCTGAATGGAAGAACAGCTGCTTGAACCCCTCTACAAGGCAAGGTTGAGGTCTATTTCGTGTTTCTCTTCCTGTGCACATACTTCTCTCTCTGAAGAAGCTATCGGCTCTACTGTGGTGGTGCAGGTTTCAGCTGTTCTCAAACCGGCAAGTCCAGCAAAATCTTCGAGCTGGAAGGAAGGAGTCCATGGAGCCTGGATCTTCTTTGCCTTCTTTGCCCTTTGTGCCTCCATATGACGCAGGCTGCTTGAAGAACCATGGCGAGCCTCTCTCAGCCTTTTGATAATTGCAAAGAACTTGTCGATCTTCTCATCATCCCGTTCTTCGTGTTCTGCTTCCAGCAGTGCAAGTTTTGGGGAGGAGTTGCTGTTCTTCCTCTCTTGGTCCATGATGAGTAAGGAACAGGAAGGAAGGAAGCAAGCTCTCTCTGCAACTAAAGTCGCTTTCCAGCGGTGTGAAGCTAGCTCCAGCTTATGTAGGTGGGAGATCACATTGGATGGAACACGCCTGTGGAAAATCCATTATTATCATAGTTAAGTGACTGGAAGTACTTGGCACGTGAGTGGGGTTGGAATGGGAGGGCCTACGTTGAGAGCCTGAGACTCTACTCTACTCGCTGCAGATGATGCTGACTGAGCTAAATCAACAATAATTATGGGTCGTAGTGGCTTGGCCATGGCCTGGTTTGGTCCAAAATCGAACCACATTGAAAGCAGATTTCTTTGAATTGGCGAATCGAAACTAGATCGAACTGTACTTTGATCCGATTCGGCCGTTTCCACACGGTCATATAATGTGGTTCGATCGGTTGCTCACTCATTATTACAGGGTTGTTTTGCTTTTTGTTGTTTTCTCTCCTTGCTTCTCTCAGTAGAGATAACCAACAAAGGCAAGTGGGTGAAATGAGCCAAGCTAGGTACGTCACAAGTATTGCATCACCTGAAGAATCTCTTCATCTACTAGTCTTTCTTTATATATTTTCCACAGTCTTTATATATTGATTGATTTATTTAATTGACCTACTGTTCATGGCTTTCTGTGTGTGGCATGGAGAGAAGAATCAAGTATTCCTGTTGTTGGTGCTTTTCAGGAGGTGGGGATTAGATGTTGTCTATTGATTTGAAGCAGGGGATTATTAACGATCATTGAAGGTTGGGACAACACATATATTAAAGAGTTAGTGGGAGGACTTGAATTTTGCAGAGATAAATGTCTAATGATGTCACAGTTGCCTAATCATGCCACAAATCAAGGGTATCACAGGTAATTATGTCCATTAGAGCTACACTTTCCAGATAAAGCTATGATTTTCACTCTTCTACTTTTCCTGTGAATTTGATTAAAGCTATGAAAAATGTCATAATAATTGATGGGATGCCACAATGACTTTGCAGGAGGAAGGAAAGAAAGGTGGTGACCTTTGATGAGGGGGAGGGGCTAAAGTTATGGAGCAAATTGGTTAACCTAACGAACCTCACAAGTCAAGACTATAAACAATGGATGGATTCCCTAGAAGACATGGCTTTCTTTCTTCTATGTGACTGAAGCTGGATCTTGACTACGAACGAACAGATTATCTCGCACATCAAGGTCGCGCAGCACGTTAGACATTCATGCTATAGATCAGTGAGTACTTAGATGTTTGGCTAGTTCAGTTTACATCCAAAGCATGTAAACATAAATAGCCAAGTGAATTGTGCGGACTTAGATTGCCAAGTGCTTGTGAACAAATTTGCAACAGCCAGCAGCAGACTTGTTAGAGCTCGGAGTGGTTTAGTGATGAGATTGGGTGGCTATGTCAGCACTCAGCAGACTGGTTGGCCTCGATGGAGTTTCATTTCATCAAGAGGGGAATGAAGCAGTGCACATTATGGCTCGTAATAAAGTTGATGAGGTACAACTTTTATCTTTTTTTTCTGTTAAAAGAACATGTTAATATACGGAAAGATATGAGTTGGCTGCCCTTTCCACTTGCCACTACCATTGTATGCTCCCTCAAAATATGGCTAGCTGCCATTAAGATTAAAGGGTAGGATAGGATTAGTTACACCTTGCGCCAGTAGCCTTAAAAAAGACGAGAATCAGCAAAACATGGCAACTGAACTGACATAATACATGCACCCAACCAATTACTCCATCATGTGCCAAGTCGAGTCAAGTAGCTGTTTTTCCCCCAGCCTGAGGAAAAACGCCCGTCAATCAGCCATGAATGAAGTCAACGAACACCGTGATTCGCCCAGCCCACAGAACAGATAGTCATGGTATGCTCCAACTGGACCTCTACCTGCAGCTGTAAGTTCATCACTTCTCATGAACAGATGGTTGTCGCCATCAATGACATCCAGGAGGAGGTGCTCGTACGAATCTAGCACCTCCAAGTAGCTAGTTGAGATCGAGATGCCCTAGTTTCACAAACTCCATTATGATTTGCTTACCTGTCCTTGTAGAGCAGGTTTAGTTTTGACTTTTGATGCATCTAATCTAACTGCAAACCCAACACTGGAATCTTGTTGAACTAGTAAGAGCTACATTGACTTTACCTACAGAAGATGCTTTGCTTTGGCCGAGAATGAATACAGGGAACCCACCGTTCTCTCTAAAGCCAATCTTGTCCGTTCTCGCCATCGGATTTATTTCTGTTCGGAGGTTGGGAGACAACGGCGAGTCAGAGCGACGGAGCTGACAAATTTGATTTCAGCTAGCCGGAGTAGTTAGGGAGCGCTAAGAAGGATTGGGCCGGACCCGCTGATCCACATCCACCGCTGCGGTCTTCCTGGGCCACAGTTTCTATCACCCATTAATGGCCCAATTTATAAGGTCGGTTTTATTTATGGACCAATTGGCCCAAGCGACCTGGAACAAGGGCACAAGGATATCTAGCACCGACCTTCATGAAGAGGACGATCTCAACAGCTTCTCCTTCTACCTCTACTTCAGAGTTCACAGTTCAGCCGTTCAATTCCATGATCCTGGTATTTTGTTGTAATTTCCATTAGTGGGGTGTTATTCTTTATTTAGACGTAAAATAATATTTTTTTTAAATATATAATGTGAGAGGAAACCTCTTACAAGAATACTAAATTTGCTACCGCCAAATGGTTACCATGGTAATTATTAAACCAAACAAGCTAAAATTCTATTAACCATGAAATACAATATCATAACCAAACCGTCCAAATTAATACAACAACCAAATTAACCAAACTAAAGTTTAATCGGTTTGGTTAATTGGTTAACCAGACTAACCAATATAACATCACATTATCATTAAATGAGAAATTTTTCGGTTAATGCATCAATTCACAATTTATATGAATAAAAAATTATGATGAACACATAGTTATAGTTAACCATTACAGAAATACATGCAACTAATACAATTATTTTACAGTCAATACAAGTATTCATCTAATAAAAATATATGTCAATAGTATAAAGTTAATTAATTATTGTCATTGTGTGAATTGAATAAATCTCCTAACAACTATCATAGGTTGAAAAGACGTTTCCTTTCAAGTTTTCATATATCATGGTCTACACACTACATATACAAATATGCAATATAAAACAATATTGAACTTTATTATTGATGAGCCTAAAAGGAAGAAATGTTTAACTCTTGAGTGGTTATGATAACTGCCAAATATTAAGTATGTGTATATGATATATATGTATATATATATACGGCAAAGGCTAGCGTACACCCGGACGTACCCTAGCCTACCGTACGTCGGTTGAGTTTTGATAATTAGACAGGGAATTAACCGGAGTTTGGGGCATGATACTATACCCTAACCCCTAATGGGTGAACCCCAGTCTGCAATTCACTAACCCAAAGCATAATATTCATTTAATCTTGAAATGAAAATCAACGGTTCTGATTCGTCGAAATTATTGTTGATTTTCATTTTAAGATAACGAATCTCATGATTTGAGTTAGAAAACTAGGCACTGGAGTTTATCCATTAGTGGTTAGGGTATAGTATCATGCCCAAAAATCCGGTTAATTCAAGATCTAAATAGCAAAACTCAAACGGGCCTACGGTAGTCTAACGTACGCCCGGGCGTATGCTAGCCTGAACACACACACACACACACACACATATATATATATATATATATATATATATGGATACGACTCGTATGCGTCAGACACATACTATGCGACAGGATTTCTACACCGTAGATCTAATCTAACGCCTGTTATTAAATCTAATTTAATTTATTATTAATCAATAATTATTAGTACCCATTAATAATTATACATACGGTATAGTCCCCCAACAATTTAAACCATTAATTTTACTATTAAAGTACCTTTTCTCATGCCTATGTAGGTTTAAGTACCCATATTT